AACCAAAAAAAAAAAAAAAACAAAACTTTGCAGCTGAAGAATACAACTAAAACTAAAAATTCTATTTGACCCAGCTAATCCCCTTATTTAAAAAAAAATCATTCTGGGTGCTGTATGGAGAAAGATGAATTCAAACTGGAAGAGCCAGGTGTAGTGGCACACGCCTATAATCCCAGCACTTCGGAGGCTGAGGCAGGAGGATCACAACAAGTTCAAGGCCAGCCTGGGCTACACAGTGAGACCTGTTTTTTGTTTTTGTTTTTGTTTTTGTTTTTGTTTTTGTTTTAAAAAAAGCAGAAAAAACAATGAAGAGAGAATATCCATATTTTAGCAAGAACAAATGATGTCTTTGACCACAGTGTCAGTAGAAGAAGTAATTAATAACTGCCGGGATAAGGATACATTTCAAAGACAGAGTTGATGACATTTGCTAAAGCTGATATTTGAGCTGTGAGAAAAGAAGGGAGTTAAAGGTTTTTGGCCTAAGCAACTGGAAGGATAGAATTTCCACCAACTGAGTTGGGGAAGATGTGAGAGGAGAGGTTTGGAAGGTGTTCCTCATGTTTCTCAACAGGAAAGGGAACTAAAGATTATTTCTGAAATCTTTCTGCAACACCAGATTTTAAAAGCGGAATCTTAGAATCTTCAGTGTGTGTTCTGAGTACATTCCGACAGCAGCCATCTGGGACAACAACCTACACATAAAAGGCAGAGGGAGCAACAGAGAGGAGAAAAGAATATTTCACTTAGTAACTCTGGCCACTGCTCTGGAAGGAACAGGGTAGGCACAGGGTCTGGGTCAGTGAAGGCCTCACTGAGTGCTGTTTATCTTATTTGAGCCTCGAAGGAGTTAGCCACAGGGTGAGAGGTGCTCACCAGTTGGTGGAAATGAGCGTAGTCTATAATCTGAGTGATGAGCAGGTATAGAATGACCCAGAAAACAGATATGTTTGAAGAACTAAAGAATGTCAGTTCGAATCAGAGAAGGGTGACCAAAAATCAGTGTTGTGAAAAAAAAAAAGCAGGAGGTAGATTTATCCTAATAATAAATATGCAGTTTTAGGAAATTTTTGTAGCTGCTCTATAGAGAGGAACAGTCATGGAGTTCGTAAGTTTTTCATAACGGGGACAAAATACCTGAAACTGACAACTTAAGGAAGGAGAGGCTTATGCTGTCATGGTTCCGGAGGTTTCAGTCCATAGTTAGACTGGTTGCAAAGCAAGAACATCATGGCAGAGAATACAATGCCTACAGCATTGCAACTGGGAGTAAAGAACAGGAAGAGGGAGGGAGGAAGGGAGAGACGGAGAGAAACGGAGAGACAGAGACAGAGGCCCTCCCGAGGCAAGCTCTCACTGACCAGACCCCCCCAGCACTCTCAGCTATGAACTGGTGATGGCTGAATCCGCCGATGAGTAGAGCACCTCCGGGAGGGACCGCCCTTCCAAAGGCCCAGCCTCTGAACACAGGAGACTCTGGGCATATGTGAAATCTCAAGCACAAACTCCTCCAGCCTGAGGCAGTGGCTCTGACCTCGGAGATACTAGGAAATTATAAAGGCGAACGAAAGGAGAGGCCGTCCAGGTGGTTCTGGGCTCCTGAGGTGAGCAGTGTAGACGCTTGTGCCCCTTTTATTACAACACGTGCGCCAGTTACTGCACTGCATGTCCTGGTTGCAAACCTACCCTTCTCTATTCTGCTTTCTGAAGCTCAGGCTTGTGTTTTGTGGATCACACTGCTGGCTGCTGGCTGGCTCTGTGCTGAACTCTGCCCTGGAGGGTTACGTGATGCTGGAGAAGGCTGGAGGCTGACCGTGGTATAGTTCACCGGGATCCTGACCCTGTTAACATTCCATGTAAAACCAACTGGTTCGATCCATTGATTCAGCCTCGCTCTTTAGGCCTGACCCATGAGAAGTGGGATCGGGGTCTCTGCATTCATTACCTGGTTCAGCAGGGAGCAACAGGAGAATCCAGGTGCTGAGGTTGAAGGGCAACGAGTTTAGTCTGAGGTGCGTGGAGGAGCATCAGAGAGTACTACGCAGAGGAAGAGCTGTAGAAGACAGCTGGACATGGTCTTGGGTATCAGGTGCCTGCTTGTCCTTACGGTGCCCCCTAGAGACCCGTATGCAGGGCTTCTCCCATGATGCAGCAGGGCTTCTCCCATGATGCAGTGGTGCTCAAGGGCTCCGCCAGTGCTGTCAGGGGTCAAGCACCTGAAGAGTTCCGAGCTGAGGAAGTGGGGCGCCCCAGGCCGGCCTTTGGGGGGTGGCTCTCATCCCTGGCCCCTTTCCTCTCCGGCTCTTTCCTTCTCACTGCTTCCTGGCTGACGCTCTCAGCACAGGCCTTAAAGCAATAGAGCTTGCTGACCACGGTGCTCAGAGCAATGAGGAGCGCACAGTTGGGCGCTGGGAGCTTTTGTGTTTTAGGAGGTGGAACTCTCTGGAGTTGACTACTCAGCGGGAGTGGCTGGCAGTGGTTCCTCCTAGGAGAAAACCAAAAGGGAGGTCCTTCCTGGGAGAAAGAGGACCATTTGCAAGCAAAAGGGAATGGCTAGAGCCGAAAGGGAGTTGCTCAGGTTTGCTCTTGGGGGGTGAGGTTGTAAATAAACCAGGCTTGTGTTCTGAAGCTGCAATTTTCTTCCAAAGTACAATTGTTAAAATTTCGAGTTCCTGGTCTTCTCTCTAACTGTATTTTTTCTGTCCTACCTCAATAAAACCATGAGGCAAAATAAACCTTTCCCCCTGTCAGCTGACATTCTTAGCTGTCTTGCCCTAGTAGCGGAAAGGTGGCTCACACAAACGTGGAGTTGAAGGGAACACAGGGTTGGAAATCTGATGATCACCCAAGGAACAATCCATGGAATGGAACGAGATAGTGCAGCAAGAAACCGGAGACTGAAAAGAGAAAGAGAAGACTCAAGATGAGGCCTTGAGGAATGAAAACTTATAGTCTAGTAGAAAGGTACAGGCAGCTAAGTTAGAAATAAATACACAGGGAGGGACTGGGCTCTCAGGGAGTCAGCGCAGCAATAGACATCACAATGGTGGCTGGAGGTGCATCTGAGGACCAGGCCTGTGAGCCTCTCTGAGGGACAGCAGGGACGAGACTGGGCTGTGATTAGCACACCTGGTCCCGGAAGTCCAGACGGGCATCAGGTGTGAGCACAGACCCGTCCTTCCCCGAAACCATTTCCCTATCGGATCAGTGTTAGCTAAGGAGCCTTACTTGTAAGCTTATCCTTGATGGTCATGTGACCCGCACTGTGCCCACCGTGTGATTTTGCTTTGTATATCACCCTGACAAAGGGCCTGGGTGCTTCTTTTCTCCTCCTCTCCAGCCACACTCTCCTGACTTCTTCCTTTGCAGGACTTCACTCCTCGGTGTTGTGGGACCAGGACCTCAGCACGCCTGACCCCGGACAGGCTGGGAGTTGTGTTTCTCCTAAATCAAAAGGAGGCTCTGACATGCTGACCGGAGCGAGAGTGTCACTGGGTTTAGTTCCATGGAAGTTGGGGTGGCTGGGGTGATCCACAGGTGTAAAGCTACTTTGATGGCGGCGAAGAATGAATAAGGGGAGGTGACAGGTGGGACAGAACCACGGGGAGTAGGTGGGTAAGGGGGCAACTTGCCAAGGTTGGGGATCACAGAATCAGCTGATTTACTGGTTTGTTTTTGTTTGAAACACTATTTCCAGTGCCTCACTCGGGGCCTGTGTGCTATCCGAAGGAATGCATCTCTGCTAACTCCATCCTCCACACATTGCTGTTTCTTTTTCCTAGTTAGCCCTCTTCATAGGACTGGAAACCACCAGCCTGGGTAATGGTTCCTTCAGGGCTTTGTACCGACATTGCCACCGCTGACAAAAGAAGCGATGTCCACAGTTCCCGAGGAAGCACTGTTTAGGGGAGGAGCACAAACTAGAGCTGAACAGAGCCAGGCTGGGTGTGTAGTCACTGAGCAGGGGATGCTGCACAGGCCTGACACCCCTCAGGACCCCGGGTTTCCTGTCCATAGGTTGTTTCACCATCCTTACTTCCGCGAGGGTAAGGAGGAGATAACGGATAACAATTAAAGCAGGTTCCTTCCGTTCCTTCCATCCCTCCTGGAGAAAGCACTGCTGAAAAGCTCTGTGTCACTTCGTGATCTTGGCTCCTCAGAATTTGAAAAGCATTGTTCAGACAGAGAGCCTGTGTGACCTTTGCTTCCCGACTGTAATCAGTGGCACGACACAGCAGGACATTGATCTACACTGGTAGGGCAACACCATAAGAGGCCAACAAAATTCCCAGTGTAAGGCATGGAGGTGCATGCCTGAAATCCTGGCACTCTGGGAGGCTGAGGCAGGAGGGTTGCAGGTTTGCACCCAGCCTGGGCAACTCAGTGGCTTAGATCCAGTTTCAAAAAACAAACAAACAAACAGCTCCCAATGTTAAAGAGCAAGAGGGCCAGGCGTTCTGGGGAAGCTGGAATCAACAATGACTCATTCACAGTAGCATCCCAGAGACCGTTAGGCAAGGCCGTACAAAGATACTTCAAACTTGGTATGTTTAAAACCGAGGGGAAAAGAAGTTACGTGAGTTATGTTTTTAAAACTGTATGCACAGTCAGTTTTCCCTTATGGAGGAATATGATGGCTAGTGGCAATATTTTAATTTAAAAAATGACTTAATGACAGACTTTGCTGCTAGTCATTCTACCGGTGAGGATATGTTTATCGATGAATTTGGAACGTCGATCTTTCCAAATCGAGTAGACTTGCCCCACAGTGACAGCAGTCTTTTCAGTCTTGTCCAACCTTTTCAATATTTCAGTACCGAGATTCAGTTTGTCAGATAATGGATACATCTCCATGTAGGGTTTTAATATTACTCCAGTTAGGAAACAGGTCTGAGGCCCAAAGTGTTACAATTTTATCTAACAGTTTAAGTAGCTATAATCTGGGAAAAGGACACAATCTCTGTGGCCACCTCCCTCACCTTCTAAATGTCTGACAGACCACAGAATCTTCCAGAAGGCCTGAGGGGCCCAGACTTGGCTCCTGGCAGAGCCTCACCTTTGCCAGAAACTCATGCGCTCGTGCCGGGATCTGTGTTAGCAGGTTTAGTCTCACTTTGCATGACTGCAGTAGAGGTACGGCACACATTTGTGCGGGGCACAGGCGCGTCTTCACAGGCAAGACTTGAGCTATTAATCCGGCTCCTTTCATCGTCCCATAGCTGCCATCTGGCTTCATAAAAGAGGGTTTCGTTTTTATGAAGTGTTTGTGGGGCTTTGGAATGGGAGATCAATTTGCAGACTTAAAAATAGGTGAACTTTGACCTTCTGTGGTAAGGCTGCACGAACGAGGGCAGTTTGTAAACTGAGAAGGTGGCAATCGTGCACACATCGGTAGGGACGGTTCCTGGAACCACCACGGAATCCTCTTCAGTCCCTGGAATGAATGCAGTGGATGTGACGGGCTGCCCCAGAAAGACCTGGGGGAATGGCAGTGAAAAGAGAAGGTTGGGTAATCCTGACCACCTGTAAAGTGCGTTCGTCCTAAGCACTTTGCATTTACCAACCGCAGTAACTCTAACCATGATTGTAAGGTGGGTCCTGTTTTCATCCCGTTTACCTGGGAGGAAGCTGAAGCCCAGTAACTTCTCCAGAGTCTCAGTGCAGGCCAAGGAGCAGAGTTTGGCCGGAGGATCAGTGTTCGGGCCTGGTTCCTTGCTATCAGGAACATTGTTTCTTTTATAATAATGTTTTGTGTGGTATGGGGGTTTGAACCTAGGACTTCACTCCTGCTAGACAAATGCTCTACTACTGAGCTACATCCATGATTTTTAAATTTTACTTTGAGACAAGGTTGCCTAGGTGATCCTCCTGCCTCAGCTTCCTGAGTAGCACCTCCACAGTGGCTGTAATATTTTTTCCTCCACAGGCTATTTCTCAAAATATCCTAGTGATTTTTCTTCTGCTGCTAGCATTCAAGGGAGAATGCTGGTCTTTCTCCTTGTTAGCTAAGCACCTCCCTTCATCGATCCATTTGCTGGGTGTTCTTGCTTACCCTCTCCTGCGAAGGTCACCGCCCAGCGGGATCCACAGACTCTAGCCTCTGTGCCGTGGTCTGAGTGTTCCTCCCCTGCTTTCTCCGAGCAGACTGAATTCCACCTGAGGGCCCTGAGAAGCTGGCCCTTGGGAGGGAGTAGGTCTCCTGAATGCGAAGGCAATCAGGCCTTGGAAAAGAACCTGCAGACACATACACCCTCTTGACCTTTGGTCTCTCCTACCATCCGAGGGCACTGCGTCCTTGACCTGAGGACACAGCGTTCAGGGCCTCATCTTGGAAGCTGAATCAGACCTCACCACACACCCAACACGGGAGTGGCCCGGTCACAGAGCGCCTCCAGTGAGACATGTGTCCTTTACGAGTGACCCAGCTTGAGGCACTTTGAGTAAAACCCTCCACCAAGAGGGGGACACAGGAGAGAAGCAGGGCAGAGGGCCAGAAGGCTGCCCGGAGAAGAGGCCCTGCGTCGTCCACGTAAGGACTGAAAAGGGAGGCGGGGCACAGTCGGGGCACAGAGCAGGGGCCCTGCTGACCCCACTGCAGCTGCAGCAGGCGAGGAGGCAGAACAGCGCCTTGGAGTGGGCCGGGAGCTTCATGCCACCAGCTGGTCCTCTAGAGTCTGCCACCGGCTGACAGGGTGCACTGGGGTATGTCCTGCCAGCACGTGGTCCCACTCATCGGAGGGCACAGAGCAGGAAGCGTCGCAGCGGGAAAGAGCCGGGCTCCGGGAGGGACGAGAAGACTGCTGTGCCTGAGCTTGAGCGGAGGAGGTATCTGGAGCTGGGTCTGTGCTGCGGCTGCACAGTGATGCGAGTACTCAGCCACAGGGCTGAGCGCTCCCAAAGCATTAAAATGACCAACTCCAAGTACATCTTACCACAGTTTCAAATTAAGGAAAAAGGACATAAAAACGTACAGGCCAAGCATTTAGAGAAAAAATTCATAGTTCTTTGGTGCTGTTTCATTAGATAAAATCATTCCTTTGCTTACCCCCACAGCCATGACCTGGCAGTTTAGATCAGGCAGGTAGGGATCAGAGAAGTCGTCTATCTACCTGGCCCCAGGGCACACAGCCATGGCTGCAGGCATTTTAACAAATCCTAGATTTGGAATTTAAGCCTTTCCCATCCAAACACCTCACGCTTTTACCAATCCCCACGCAGCTTAATTATCTTTTTTTTTTTTTGATATGTTAACAGTTTTCTTAAAAATGTCCTCCTTAATCTTCTGAGAAGGTACTGCATGGCACCTTCTAGGTTCAGGAGGTATGAGAAAGTGAGACCCTGCAGAATGGAATGTTTGTGGAATCTTTTCTGTTGAGTCACATCTGATAATAAGGGCTCTGCCTTCTGCAAGAGGGACGGAAAGAGTCTCCAGAGTCAAGATGAGTCCGGACACAATACGGGGCGACCCAAAAGCATGGTGAATGTGGACATTTTTAAAAACAATTACAGTGAGACACACTGTCACTAATTCTGCTCAAAATACGAAACCCCACATGCTTATCCCGTCATTCTTGGCCATGTCTTTTAATATAATACATTTAAAAAATGTAAACACTAACTGTATTTCACGATCACACCTCGTGGATCCCAAGTTTACAGCAATTCCTGTCAAAAACACTATGCTGTGTCCTCATCCTCTGTGGTACTGTGAGATTTCTTGCTCTTTCCCAAAGTCAAAACGACCAGGAAAGGGGAACTTGTTTCTTCTGTTAGTAGTAGATGTTTGCACACATAACGGCTCCCTTCACCGTGGGGAGTTGGTGCATGACTATAACACAGCTTTCTTCCTTTTTGTCCCCTTCCCTTCCCACCCCTACGATTCCCTGTTGCAAAAGATCCACCGTCCTGTTTTCTGTTATCTTTATTTTGCTTTTTTACTTACTTATCCTTTGGGTAAACACTTTGAATCGCTTCACGACATCCAGGCGGTGCAGCTGAAGACACGCAGGAAAGAGGACTTCAGAACTACTTCAGCAAGTGGCCAGGCCCATAGGATCAGTGTGCTGCATGTGAAGGGGACGATTTGGAGGAGATTCGTGGCAATGTGTCTTTTACTGCAATGCACGTTAGAAGTCTACACGCGCCCCGCAGCTCTGCATCCGCAGAGGCAGGAGGGTCTGCGGGCCTGCTCTGCAGATGCGCCTTGGCGGCCCAGGGCTCCCGCGGGTCCGGCGCAGGCGCAGT